AACAACACACTTCGGAACATATTTTTCAAACAAGTTTAAAATACTTAAACAACAATTTCCTAACACACTCGCCCTAGGTCACTCTCGCACCTCTGCAATACAGCAGTTTTTAATTATGGAAAGAAAGCTACTTAAAAAGGGTGAACTCGAATCCGAATATGATGGTGTGTTAGAAGAATACCTCCGTTTAAATCATATGGAGGAAGTAAACCCAGGGGAGAAAATCGTCAACTATCTAGCCATTCGAACACTCCACGAATTGGCAGACAACACAAAGTCAGAATTTCCTCTGGCAACTGAAGAGTTGAAAACTCAAACGTATGTAGACGATATTCTGTCTGGAAGTCACACTCTTCCACAAGCATACGAGGCCTTATCACAGGTAATAAATGCCCTCAAATCCGCAGGGTTTCCGTTAAGAAAGATTACGGCATATCACCCAAATATACTCAAAAGTATTCCGAAAATTTGTTGGACACTAATTTCCTTATATTCGAAAAGGAAAGTACAACAAAACCACTAGGCATCCAATGGAATGCGATATCGGACCAGTTCTCATACACGACAGAGTCCATATCCGCATTATCAGCCATCACAAAAAGACAGATTTTATCCTCGGTGGCAAAACTTTTCGACCCCGCAGGATGGCTTTYGCCAATTATGATTCAAGCTAAAATCTTAATAGAAGAATTATGGCTAGACGGAACCGACTGGGACGGAACCGACTGGGACGAGCAAGTGAAACCTCTTCGCTTAGAAAATTGGTTCGAGTTCGCAAACAATTTGAATGATATTTCTCAGATACAAATACCGCGATGGGTGAATTACTCCCCCGAACACAAAGTCRAATTACATGGCTTCTGTGATGCCATTGAAAAGGAATACTGCGCTACTATCTTTGTGCGCACGCAAAGTGATACCACGACAGCAAGCCACTTATTAGTAGCAAAATCAAAGGTGGCACCTTTAAAAACTATAAGTCTCCCACGACTTGAGTTATGTGGCGCACTACTACTTTCTAAATTAGTAGCCATGGTGCAAATGCATTCAAACGTGACAAAATGCGAACTATATATGTGGTCCGATTCAGAAATTGTACTAGCCTGGTTGGAAAAAATACCACGTCTCAAATACTTGACCTAGTGGGATTAGCCACATGGCGTCACGTAGCCAGTGTTGACAATCCTGCCGATCTAGGTACAAGAGGGTGCAAGCCACTGCACCTTGCCACTGCCACAAGGGTGGAATGGCCCCTGATGGTTGATACAATCTCCGGATTCTTGGCCACAATCCCCCATGCGCAACATTATCCCCCCAGAAGGGCGAAAAATCGCCACCTTTCACACATTATTGGATGATACCGACATCCTTGCACGATTTTCATCGTTTCCAAGAGCTCTCAGAGTAGTTGCTTATATGTTCAAATTTATAGAACAGCTCAAAAGCAAAGTCAAGGGATCACTTAATTTCCCATGCCACACAATAACGCACATGGAGTTACAAAAAGCAAAGGTCACACTAATCGCATATACACAAACGCGCTACTTCAGCCGCGATATGTATATCACTACTAAGAGAATCGAAGCCAATTGATAAAAAGAGCTCACTCTGAGTTCTAAACCCATTTCTGGACACGAAAAGTCTGCTTCGTGCCAATGGTCGGCTTGCTAATTCGAGCCTAACATACAATGAACGCCACCCCATAATAATTCCTGCGAGGTCACCATTTGCCACACTATTCCTCAACTGCATCCACATCTTAATGCTACACGCCGAACGTCGCCTCATACAACATATGGCACGCCAAGAGTACTATATCCCCCGTCCTAAGCCGCAAATCAAGAGTGCATCTTCACGTGCAAGATTTGCACTATGCACAAACAGAAGATGCGAACGCAGATTATGGCAGCATTTCCAAAGGAACGCTGCAATTTCGCTCTGCCTTTCACCACAACAGGTGTTGATTTTGCTGGGCCTTTCCAGGTAAAGGCGTCTCTGTTAAGGTCTCCCACTCTCATGAAAGGCTATGTGGCTCTCTTTGTATGTTTCACGACAAAGGCAGTACACCTTGAGCTATGTAGTAATCTGACGACGGAGGCTTTGCTCGCTTCGTCGCTCGACGTGGCTACCCATCTAAAATCATGAGCGAAAATGGCAAAACTTTTATTATAGCTCAACGAGCCACAGAAAAGCAATTTGTGGATTTCCTAAAACAAGTGTCACCCGACGTCGTACAAAAGTATGCCCTTCAAGGTATTAGTTGGCAATTTGTAACCCCAAGCGCTCCTCATATGGGCGGTTTATGGGAGTCAGCTCTAAAAAGCTTCAAATCCCATTTTCACCGCCTTAACTCCAGGGCATTTTCTAAAAGGAGCACCCATCCTGGCCATTCCTGAGCCAGGCGTGGAGTCCCTATCCCTATTAAGTCGATGGGAACGAATTAAAATTCAGCCGCCGATGGAAGGACGAGTAAAAGCATCTTCACAAAAGATACCGGTGGAAGACTCTTGAACAAGCGCCTAAACTTGGAGATTGTGTCCTCATTCATGATGACATTCTACCCCCTATCGAGTGGCGGCTTGGCCGCATGGAAAAGCTACATTATGGCCCCGACGGTCACATACGAGTCGTGCATCTCCATACGCAAAACGGAACACTAACCAGACCGCTCGTGAAGCTATGCTTTTTACCAATCACCGACGACCGCGAATCCGAAAACCGAAAAAACGGAACCGCGATATAATAAAATCACTAAATTAAACACTAAAACGAAAAACACGCCGGTAACAACCGTTCGAATTAACACGCCGTATCAAATAATCAAGAATATTTACAAATAATCACACATATCGTGGCACGTTTGCCCATATCAATTAATATCACAGACATGTATTATTAACAATCTTCTCACAGATCACCATGGATGTAGATACACCAGTCGCAATCCCGTCAATCGCTCGCGCTAACAATGCGCCACGCACCGGGCCTACACCAGCGCTCCGAACTGTGGCTGCAACAACGCCGGAACCTGTACCGGCAACCGCGCCTGCACCCTCACCTCGTGGTGGATAAGGTGCCCTATCTGTCGACGCCCTCATCGTCTTCTCCATTGTGGAATTTTTAGGGCTATGCGGAGATTGCAACGGCAGCAAGTTGCTCAGGCCCGCGGGCATTGCCTCAACTGCTTGTCCCACACTCATGCTACTGCAGGGTGTGAGTCACGGGGCCTGTGCCAAATGTGTCACCGGCCGCATCATACTCTGCTACATCGCAGCTCGTCAGGTGAAGCGCACCGGCCACCCAACCATCGCGGCCGCGTCTCCCGACTTCCACCCGCTGATAATGTCATACACCAGCGGAGTGTAACCTCGTTGCGGCGTCGACAGACTGGACCACCCCCTCGTCGATCCACGGGTCTCAGAAGCGTTGTGGCAACGCTGCAACAGCTGCAGCGCCTTATAGGCTAAACAGTCGTTTAGGGGGACCGGGATGGCTAAATGAGCACCTGACTTCCCTCTTAATATAATACTTCTACGCCCCACACATACACACCATACTCAAYACGACTACACCATCCTTATCATCCACACCTCATACTCAACACATCTGCACCATATTCAACATCTACACCACACACGAGAACAYCGGACACAAGGAACAAAAGGGACTGACGGACGGCGGCGAGTCTCTTTTTCATTCGATCCGTGCGCATATACGTTTCGCCAATCAGCTATACGTTTTTTCCGCTTCCTAATCCTACAAGCAAAGGTGGGGTGCCGCGAGTTTTTTATAATATTTTTCTATTTATATTGACGATATAATCGTATTTTCAAAAAGCTTCGAGGAACATAAAAAACATTTAAGTATAATAATAGAAGTACTAAAAAACGCAAATATGAAAATTTCATTACAAAAATCTAAATTCTACCAAGAAGAAGTAGAATTTTTGGGATATATTTAATTGGAAAATATCGAGCAAAAATTATATTTAAACCAGTAAAACAAATGTGGTAGCAGATGCTCTATCACGACAATTTCTTATAATTTATCCGACGAATCGTCAACCACAGTAACCCAACATTCACCTGAAAGTAGTGATCATACTTAAATACCCGAGACAAAAAAAGCATTAAACCAATTTAAACAACAAATTTTACTAAGTAAGAATAGATTTACAATACATGAGCAAATTCAAGAATTCAGAAAAATAAAACATTTAATTGAATATGATAATGTTGATAATTTAATCGCAATATTAAAGGAATACATCAAACCAAATATAGTTACGGCAATACATTGCTCAATAGAGGATCTATACGAAATACAAGCGAAAATAAGAGAAATATTTACTAACAAATTCATATATACGAAATATTTTGCAATTGATATAACAGAGAAGGCCAAGGAATTATAATTGAACAAACGCATACACGAGCACATAGAAGTTACCAAGAAAATTTGGGTCAAATTTGCAAAAAATATTATTGGCCTGAAATGAGAAAACAATTCAAAGAATATGTAAAGAATTGTGACATATGTAATAAAAACAAATTTGATAGACATCCTATAAAAATACCAATTGGAGAATATACCACATGGATATATTCTATGCGCAATCTTTAAAATTCATTACRTGTATAGATAGATTTTGCTCCAAATTTTTGGTTATTAAGCAAATCGAGATAAGATTAATTTATAACATAAAGTGTTAGAAATATTTCAAAGTTTCCCTAATATAAAGAAGTTAACAATTGATAATGAACCAGGATTCACTACGGTACAATTTAAGTCCTTGATGCAGAGGCTTCAAATAGAAATTTTTTTTTGTAACCCAAATCATAATACCACGAATGGTTAAATTGAGAGGGTACATTCAACAATAATTGAAATTTCGCGACGTATTAAACAAGAATATAATTTAATAAGCTTTCCAGAATCAATATTTAGAGCTGTCCAACAATATAATAAAACTATACATTCGGTAACTAATGAAAAACCATTTGAAATACTTTATAGTAAAGCCTCTCATGATATTTTACCAGACAAACTTTTATCAGCGCAAATTAAGATGCTAGAAAGACATAATAAAAATAGAATTAATAAAACATATTTATGCGGAGATGTTATATATGAAAAGATTACAGGAGAGAGAAATAAACTAAATCCTAGATACAAGAAACAGGTAGTAAAAGAGGACTTAGGGAATAAAGTTGGATTAATTACAGAAATAGAATAGTACATAAAGATAACATTAAATCTTGAACATATATTTTTAGAGGATGATACCGTTAATTATTCTAACATTAAATACTAATACCATGACAGACATTGTGGACTACACATGAGAAGATTACGTATTATTAGAAGACGGAGACGTAGCTTTGTATTATGACTACGGAGATATTTTCCACATCACTAATTTAACATACTTTAGAGAATTTATAAGTTCAGACCAAAATTATTATAACGAAAAATTCAGATAAAAAAATTTTAAACAAAATAATGAACAAGGCAAAGCATATATTAACGATTTAGACTCAGATCCAGAAGTGGAACTCCTGGAAACTTTATTAGAACAACTACAAATTAAGTATACAAGATATAGGAGAGGATTAAATGAAATAGGTACACTATGGAATAATAAGTAATAAATTAAATGATTTAATTGAAAATAATAATAAACAATACACTACAAATTCTAACATTTTTGAAATAATTAACCAATTAACTGAAACAATTAACAATATTAATGAAAACTCAGATATTAAAATTCTAACGAAACGGAAAAATCAGTTCCTAATAACTGAATTACAAAATATGATTAATACAATAGCTATAGGAAAAATGGGAATTTTAAACCCGATTTAAAATTTAGACAAGATTAAAAACATAATTAAAAATGAACATGGACGATTGACAATAACTGATTTAATAGGTATATCAAATTTTAAAATAGTACAAAATAAAGATTTAATAGTTATATATATAAAATACCCAAAAATTATATATGATTGCAAATATTATGAAGTAAGAACAATTACACAAAAAGATGGTAAATTAATAATAGACAATGAAATTCAAAAAAGAAAGGGTAAATACTTATTGTAAAATTAATAATAAAAATACTTGCCTATCAGATATTTTGTCCAATAAACAAGGAAAATGTAAAAAAATTAAAGAAAAACCTAAAGATATAGATATAATTAAAGAAGGAAATCACACTGTAGATGACTCTGCCATAAATGGAGTTTACCTTGTAACATTTGAAAACTATACCAACATTGAAAATAGAATTTATGAAAATATTGATTGTAAAATTTGGAAATATTTAAATAATAATCATATTAATAACTTTGAAATTGTAGAATATATTAAAACAAAGAATAAAGATTTTAAATTTGAAAACATAAATATTTTGAGTGAACGAATCAAAGAATTTAAAAATCATTCACTTTTCTGGTACATGATTGTAATACTTGTACTATTAATAATAATATACATTATCTATCAGATTTTTAAAAAATTATACAAAACCAATAAGCAAAACAAAGAATTAAAATTCCCAACATTGCCATATAACGCTATTTTAAAAAACTTTACAATATATCAGAAAATGATATTGAATCGGGGACGATTCATCTTAGAGGGGGGGAGTTAAAGGTAGCAGCCACACAAATTGTGTCTTCCCAAAGTATTACTGCTTGGTCAGCAGAATACTTTAATTAATATGAAATTAATACTTCATTTGTTTTAGTAAGTAAGCATAATTCAATATTCCATTATTTGTGTTGATAATGAGAATAATTAGAAATATGAAAATAATGAAACATCTTTAGTAATAAGCCCTTACATATAGAATTGTAAGAATATAAATATAAGTGAATTGACTAATAAAGATCAGAAGGTATTTACAAGATATTCAGAAGGTGATCAGCGAGAACCGGAGTACCGACTCAAACCAATACGTTGTGTTTCATTTCTATCGCGCGTAGCGGAACGGAAAAACATTTTTTTTTTTTCAATACTTTCTACGCAGGGAAGTTAATTTGCGTATATTTTTGTATACATTTCCGATAAAAAAAATGCACAAGCATACAAACATACATATGCGTACACAAGCGAATATGTCACTAACAAAAAATTGGAACGATTTTCTATAAAAAATAACAACTATCTCAAATAGCATAAGCATACCAAGTTAATATGGCAGCCGAATTGGCGAAGCCAAAATGTAGTAAATTTTACAACAAAAATGATTTCATTGATAAACGCAGGCGCAAATTCCACAAGTATAAAAACAGACCCCGTAACATCTGCTCGAGCATGCCTTTGCCAACAAGCGTCTTTTCGCGACGATGGCAAAAGCTAAAAATCATAAATTGAACATCTTTCTGGTGTTTGTTCTAAGAAAGAAGTGAGAAAACTGGCAACATCGTTTGTTAGTTTCTTTCGGCACAGCTCGTATTTTCTACCAACAACACAACGTTGTGATGACTCTTTGACAATACAAGAGCTTCGGCCATTGGTTGACCGTGACAATGGAGATGCGAAAGATGCGTGCGGCACTATTATGAATGTATGTACATATGTTTGTGGCTCGCATTTGCTTTCGGAAACATACAGACAAATGTGCCCAAGAAATAATATATGTATACATATTTAGGCCATAGAAATTCTATTGCTACAAATATGGAAATGATAACGAAATAATGCGAATATGCATATTTCGTGAAGGTCATGCATTTTCTTTGAAGAAATGAAGTTCATTT